CAATTGGTGGGAGTGCCTACGAAAGAGCGACACTAGCAGTTATGAATGAATGAAGAGAATGGTCGTAGGAAACGACCAGCGTTGCCAGGTTACCGTTTTTAACGTCATTTGGACGATTTTTGTATCCTGTTGACGTTTGGGTGTTTTTTTTTGTAAAAAATGAGGTTTTTTAACTTTCCAGTAATTTTTCTCTGTGTACAATATATTCAATGTATAGCGTACTATTTGCTTGTAGAGTAAGTACTTACGCTCACACTTTCGGCAAATTTGTTACTAAATCTTGTAACTAGAACTGATTTTGAATTATTTTCTTAATAAATCTTAACAAGCTTTGCTTTTGCAGCAGGTGCCTCAAAAGATATTTATTCTTTGGACACATATGACATAAATATGATGCAATATATGATAGACTAAGGATCCCGCGTTCAAAGGCTGATTGTGTAAACACTTCACTTCACTTCACACTTACAATTCTTATTACAATGTTTGCAATTGTATATTAGAAGCCAAATCAGGGAGAGCTGATCTATTGCAACACGCACGCTCGCAAAAGCACTATGTTCATTCTTAGCAGAACGTAATTTTGCATTTTCGACAACCGACCACCTAACCAAAAGTCTACAAGAAAAAAAATTTTAAAAATTAACGTGATTCTTTAGCAACTTAAAACTTGCACATTACTACCCTGGAATTTCATGGACTATCCAACTAATAATAATAAATATTAAATAAACAAAAGAAAAAGCGCCAAAGTCGATCAAAATGTTGATGACTTAATCAGCTGATCACAAGTGTATGTATAAAATGACTTATATTAATGATCTCAAACCAGTTTTCAATAGTGGTCAAGGCCGTATTTAGGGGAAGGGCGATGTAGGTGTTCTGAAAATTTTGATGAAAATTTGCTGAATTTTCGCGAGTTTTGCACAAAGTTTAGGAATTATATTTTTATGTTTTTTGTTGTTGAATGAACAATATATTTTTATACAAAATTGGCGGAAAAATATTAGAATAAAAATTGTTGCATATATTGTGAAAAATTTGCTCTGCCAATACTTTGGTCCGGCAGTGTACATAAAAATATTAAAAAATTGTATCAACGGAATCATAATAATGAGATTTTTGATGCTGTTTTTTAACTTTTTTCAAAGATTTGTTTAATAAAAACTTGAAAACCTGCTCCAAGACTTTACCGATATAGACTTATAAGGTATCACAGGTATCATTTTCTCACCCTTTTTGTTTATTTGCAAAAAAAACTCATTCACGTCCCATTTGTTTTTTATTCAATACCAACACATCTTAATTCAACATGGAATGACACTCGTTTATCTTACCTCCCTTTTTCATATTTTGAATGAGCTTATTCGCAAAGAAATTAAAAGGGTGAGAAAATACCTTACCAATGATACCTCATAAGTCTAAATGGTAAGGTTTTGGCTGAGTTATTTAAGTTTTTCTTAAACCAGTCTTTGAAAAAAGTGCAAAAACAGCATCAAAAATCTTATTACTATGATTCCGTAGACTTTTTTTTTATTTTTATGAAAACTTTTTAAGCTTAAACTACTCAGTCATCTGAGGTAATTTTTTCAAAAAATATTAAAAAAAAAAACTGTTTATTAATAAAAGAACTCAATTTTTGGATCAGATCGTTAATCGAGATATTTTGGGGGAAGTCTTAAAATATAATACATAGATTTTATAATTCAGGTGGAAAAACAGTACCGCTTTTTTTGTATGGGCAGTGATGCAGTCTACTGTACATAAGTTGGCTATGATTACTCGGCCATCTATCATAGTAGCACAATGCCGCTAAGTACGTTTTAAAATTTTCAGGTAACAGCCTCATGCGATTATCGATTATATTTTTTGTTGATTGTGTGAAATATTTTATTTTTATCAGTATTTTTCTTTTAATCAAAATATGTTGAAATAAAAGTGAAAAAAAGAATATTTTGCCAGAAAACTCCGCCGAAAAAAAAATCCTGCCTACGGCCCTGATAGTGGTATTAACCAAGTTGTTGTCAACAGTCGTTGCTTGAGCTCATCTGCTCACTGTGGTGAATACCACTAATGAATTTTAAATGTCCTCTGTCGAAATGATATTTTAACTTTACGTACATATGTACAATACATGTATACAATAAAAGTTTAGTAAGAACTATTCTGTATGCATACATGGAAAAGACGTTTTTGGGTAGGAAATGACGTTTTTTCGGAACAAGAAGGACGTTTTCTCATACCGAAAACCTGGCAACACTGGAAACGACAGTCGAGCTAATGTCGTTATCAGCGTTGCCGTTTTGGTCAAATCGGACCAAAAGTGGTAGGCTCATTATCCTTTGGTAGTTTGGTTGGTAGGATGAAGCTTTTGGTGGGCAAAAGTGAAATTGCAACCAAATTGAGCAATAAAATTTGTTTGCTTAAGATTGCATACTGCCAGTGTTATCTACTATTTATAGTAACTCTAAAAATATCTATGAATGGTAACCCTGTATTCATAGCAAGCAAAGGAAATAATGACAAGAGAAAGAGTGAAAGAAAGATGTTAAATGTCAATAACTTGGCATTTGCGCGCCTTTCTTCAATTGAATTTAACAAACAAGCGAAAAGATTAGTGATGGACAAGTAAGTTAATTTTGCTTTAAATTAGTTACTTTTTAATCGTTGTTTATTTGCAGGTATATCTATAAAGCCTCTAAACCGTCCGAAGTAAGTGTGGACAATAATAACGACGACTTGTTCAGGTAAAAAATTGCGACTAAGTAGGCATGTACATATGTGTCAATTAACAAATACTGAAAATTCTCGTGGTGATGAAAACTCGCCTGCGCCCAAAAACCAGACTTAGAAATAAACTAAACATCAGTACAATAAATAGTATTATGCACTGAAAAGAACTAGTACAAAAAGCTGATGCACATTACGTGTGGTCAGCAAAAAGTTNCAAAAAGAGATCTCAAAGATGTATGATTTTTTTACAAACGTTTTGTATACAATTAGGGGATATAAAAACTTTTTGTTTTTGATATAATATAGGATATAAAAACTTTTTGTTTTTAAACGAATAAAATGCTTGAAATTTTATTGTCGAAGAAAAAAAAACGTTTGAAATGAATTGAATTGATCTCAAAGATATATATACTCGGTACGTTTTTTTTTACAAACGTTTTGTGTACAATATTTTTGATACCTAGGTTGTTCACACTTGCTTGGTTATCAGGTTACCTGGTTAAAAATTATTATTCTGTAGTGTATTTTATTGTTGTAAACTGAATAAAAAATATAACCACATAACCAGATAACCTGATAACCAAGCAAGTGTGAACAACCTAACTTTTATTTAAACGCATAAAATGTCTGAATTTGTTGTTTTATACATCAAAATGTNAAAAGGCAAAATAAAATAGCGAAAAAGGCAGGAAAAGGTACTAGGTATTGCAAAAAAGGCAAAAAAAGACAAAACAAAATGGCGAAAAAGGCAGGAAAAGGCAAAAAAGGTATTGCCAAAAAACCAAAACAAGGCACTAAAAAAAGACAGAAAATACGAAGAACAATCAACNTTACTACAACTATACAGATTAAAGTTTTATGAGTTAGAAACTCGAAAGGATAAAATATGGGTTATTCACAACGGTGTTGTAAGTGTCGTATTGTTGTATGTCGTAAACTTTAAAAGCTTAAATAAATGTTTATAGAACTTGAAACCACAACCAACTATTTTTTAGCACTGCGAGAATGCATAATATGACTTTGATAGTACTTTTCGAACCCCCTTAATATATTTTTTAGGCATTTAAAGTTTACGACATACAACAATACGACACTTACAACACCGTTGTGAATAACCCATATTTTATCCTTTCGAGTTTCTAACTCATAAAACTTTAATCTGTATAGTTGTAGTAACATTGAACCACAAGATGCATTTTGAAGTTTTCTGGCAGCATTTTCATTCGATTTTTGCGAAGAAAAGCCTTGAATGTACTAAATGTGCGCTCGACGTAAGTTGATAGAAGTGGAGCCCAATTTATCAGGAATAAAGGCGTTTTCCTCGCCCTTTACAATTTTATACACACCCCTTATTGTCTTCAAGCCTACGTTAGCTGAGAAAACGGCTTTGAATTTTTCCAACACCAATTTGGCAAGAGGTCCCTGCGCTTCTATAAGCCGCATGGGCATGTGTATATGTTTTAATCTTTAAAAAAAAAATTGTAAATGCTATAATCACTTTTTTAAAGGTAGAAAAGGCAAAAAAAGGCAAATATCTTAAAAAAGGCAAAAAAAAGGCAATTATCTTAAAAAAGGCAACATCAAATGTGTATACATGGACATTCTTAATCGAATATACTCTATCTCTTTAGCAGAACAAAAGGCATTTTCCATAAAATCCGTTCCCTGCTGATAACCAAGCAAGTGTGAACAACCTAACTTTTATTTAAACGCATAAAATGTCTGAATTTGTTGTTTTATACATCAAAATGTTTGATATGAATTGAATTAAATCAAAACTATATACAATGCTTATAACTGTTTTTTATAAGATACGTTAATTAATTTATTTAAACGCCCAAATTTATTTTGTGTAAACTTCAAGAATTGAATGAATGAATAACCAACTGTAGCACAGAAACCATATTATTTGGTATTTTAATTTATACCTACTGTTAATCTGCAAAACCTGTAAATTTAATACAATCTCGTTTTATTGTTAAAAAATTTTTGGTAGTTTGCAAACTGATTTGGTAGGCTTTTTGGTACCTTAAATATCTCAAGTGGCAACGCTGGTCGTTATCCTCTCTGTTTAAGGTTATAATAGCAAACAGTTATTGCTAGGTCGTAGAACGTTGAAGTTGACAAATTGGTTTTCGTTGTTCATAAATTCTTTGTGCCAGCAAATTTCCTATGCAATTGCAATAAAAAAACTCATAAATGGAAAAGAGTTATTCAAATTTGTTAATTCTCACCAAATTAAAAGGAAATTAAGTGCATGTATGTATGCGGTTTACCCAAGAAATATATGTATGTAAATGGTATAACAACGACCTCCGAAGTAAAATAAATAAGTTCAAGTGAACTAAAAATCAATCACTTCCTAATTTGTGGACATGGAAAGAAAAACACCATCGAATGAAGTGAAGAAAGAGGCTTAAAATAACCACATAAAATTCACATAGAAGAGGAAGACCTTCAAAACACTCTTCATGAACTTCACAACATACCTACATACATTCCCATACATTCGGAAAGGACAATCGCAACGCATAACTATCCATAAAGTAACACAGAATACTCGTGGGAGTCAGGCACTTGAAATTTGCAATTTGCGACTCGCATTCACACAATCACTTTTCGCTCATCTACCCCACTACTCCTCGAACACTTGCACTTTCAGGCACAGGGATACATAAACACGACCGATTGTCACATCTGCTCCGTTGTCGCTGGTCGACAGATAAGCAGAGCATTTAAGAAAACAGACCGATAATACCTTTAACAACAGCCAATATACATTTAATAAAATTTATAAATTACAAATTCAAGAAAGTCCAAGACTTAGTTCGCGAGTAAAACTTATTGAATCATCGAACTAAAGAATATATTTTGATAACGAGAAGATTAAAATCAGGAACGACGAATTTACAGGAAAACCTGGTATGAATGATTGGCTATACCCCTTCCTTGCCTCGACTCCTGTTGTTCGTATAATTTTAAATAATTTCATCACAAAACGCAAATAAACGCGAGATCTTAATTTTCCTCAAATCCAGCATAAAAGCTACCGCAAGATGAGCAACAGTCGTCGCAATACCGCAACCGAATTTAGTTATGTTCTACAGAGGCAGGTAAGAGGACAAAACCTAGAAAGAATAAAGGACAGCAAATAAGTTATTGCTCGTGGCTTATACTCATATGTGTATGTATGTATGTAGAAAATAGATTTTCTGATATTGGTGGATAAAGGCTCAAAATATATCTTGTATTAAAGAATATGTGAAAGTGATTATTTGAAGTTGGGATACATACAGCGTAGTTCGTTTGCGCTAAAAAAGTTAAAAAATATGTAATCAGAATAAATTATACACATTTAATTCACTGTTACGGTCATGTCAACACATAAACCAAACTAGATACCGCTAATTTCGCCTTTCAGGTTTTACATTTTCCTATCTAGAGTCTGAGGCACCATATTATATATGCAGCTTCACTACCGGAGAACTCTATAGTTTTTTAGGGCTTTTATCTGACAGACGGACTTGTAAAATCCCGACTTTCATAAGGAAATCACACATATAATTTCAATGAAGTTTGAGGATGCTCGGAAACAATGAAATGTTTCAGCCGAGAAGTCATACCATTAATTTTAAAACATTTGCACTCCAATATTATTTTGTATGATAAAATAGTGCACTTCACGGCGCGGCGTTACGGTAAAATCAAAGCTAAAAATAAAACATACATTAAATTGAATAAAACAAAAACTAAACTAAAAAACTAAACTAACTAAAAAATCAAAGATATGCACTAAAACAAAAAGACTTCTCGCAGTGGTTTTGCTTTTTTAATTTTTTTATTTACCTTTCCTTACTACTAGATTATAATTAACACAAGGACATATTTAATTTTTTTGTGCCACAAAAAACTCAAAATTAATTAAGTATATATCTAAAATATTAATATATGTGTTAAAAAAATTAAGCACGTAAGTAAAAAATTCATTTACAATAAATTAAAAATACATATTTATTTTTCTAAATTTTTTTATTTGCTTTGTTCAGGGCTTTATTTGGCAAAAAAGATAACTGGTTCTTTAAAACTTTCAAAGTTAAAACTTTCCCTATTTGGCCGCAAAAATGTTTTATATAAGGAGAACGTTTTTTCTACGTCAACCCCGGTTATTGGGAAGCTCAATCAAGTTAGCGGCGCTGAAATGAAAAAATGAAGAAAAAATTTATTCGTATTATTGTACTCATTGTGTGCTATTTTCGGCCACTTTTCGTTTTTTTTTTTGGGCTCCGACCATTTGTTAAATAATTAAGACTTTGCTAAGTTAACCGTAACTTAGCAAAACACTCATTCAATGAAGTCTTTTTACTACTTATCTGGGCTTATTTTTTGGGCTTTTTATGTGCTTTCAAAATATTGCCCAGTAAACATTGAAAACCCGCTTGATGTCCCGCTATCTGGCCCACTTCTAAAACTTTTGTCGAACACGGATAAATATTATTGAGGAATTATGTGCTATTTTTGGGCTTTTTAGAGTCACCAAAATAATTATAGGAGCTCATCCAGTTTCCGAGATAATTAAGACTTTGCTGGGTTAACTGTAACTTAGCTTATCTGGGTTTATTCTTTTGGGCTTTTTATGTGCTATGCAAATATTGCCCGTTGAACTTTGAAAAATCGCTAAAAATATTGCCCAGTAACCATTGAAAAATCGCTTGACGTCGCGGTAGCCGACCAACTTTATAAACTTTGGTCGAACACGGATAAATATTGCTGAGGGATTAGGTGATATTTAGAGGCTTTTAGTGCCGTCAAAATTATTTACGGTGCTCACTCAGTTTCCGGGATTATTAAGACTTTGCTGGGTTAACTGTAACTTAGCTTATCTGGGTTTATTCTTTTGGGCTTTTTATGTGCTATGCAAATATTGCCCGTTGAACTTTGAAAAATCGCTAAAAATATTGCCCAGTAACCATTGAAAAATCGCTTGACGTCGCGGTAGCCGACCAACTTTATAAACTTTGGTCGAACACGGATAAATATTGCTGAGGGATTAGGTGATATTTAGAGGCTTTTAGGGCCGTCAAAATTATTTACGGTGCTCACTCAGTTTCCGGGATTATTAAGACTTTGCTGGGTTAAATTTAACTTAGCAAAACATCTATTAAGTGAAGTCTTTTTGTTAAACGTTTTAACTTTATGAACAACTGGCAAGTGTACTCATTGGGGTGTTTAATAAACTTATACCAAATTCATAAAAAATAAAGAACACTAGCGGCAAATCAGCTGCACTTAATAGTAGTTGGTTGAATAAGGAAAATGAATTAGCAACAAGAGTTTACGGGATGTACATATGTAGCTCAGTGGTTAAGGCTTCNAAAAAGAAGTCTGATGAGGAGATGTGGTGATCTCCGAAATAGTGCTATAACTTCTACCGCTTAGACTTTGTTGCTTTTTCAATTTTTCCTAATAAACAATCGTGGTACAAAGCTCAATAAAAATATTAAAAATTTTTGGTTTTTTTTCATACAAAATGCTCTCCCATACACGGAATTTCCGATAAACGGACGCGGACACTCAAAAATGTCCAGTTATGAAAAAACTCTCCCATAAGCGGACGCGAAGCTCTAACAAGCGGCCAATTTTGTTTTGTTTTTCAGTCAAATGTTGACTCTTGCGCTTCTACATATTCTCGCCATTTATGAGGTGGGTTTTATCGAAGGCTGAGGTAGCTCAGCCGCTCCAGGGTTGAGTTGAGGTCCCACTAACCCCCACTGAATAAAATAAACACAGTAGTTAAATATAGCGAACACAACCACACACACACGCGGCCGTTCGGCCAGGCTGTCGGTACCCTGACGTGTACGAAGAGAGGGGAGAGAGAGAGAGAGCGACTAACTGGTCGGCGGTCGGCGTCGTGGCTCAGAGAGCGGAGACTGTCTAGTGGCTAGTGACGGTGGCGGTGATGTTGAGAGCGGTGACGGTGAGAGCGGTGATGGTTCGGTGAATAATGACAGTGAGAGCGGTAATGGTTCGGTGAATAATGACAGTGGGAGCGGTAGCGAGCGTGATGATGGCTACTGCAGCCAATGAGAGCGACGATTGCTGATCGTGGTGGCAGTAGCAGTCCCTTAGTAGTGACGGCCCTGCAGTGATGTTGACGGTGGCCCAAATAGTGGTGAGGGCGGTAGCGACCTCCCGTAGTGAGAGCAGTATTGGCGGTCCTAGTTTTAACAACGGGCCTCTGATGAGTAACGGCGGTGACAGCGGCCCTGGATGGCGATGATGTCAGCGGCAGACAGTAAGTAGTGGTCCTCGGTAGCGGTTTGGCCTAGGGGGCGGCAATGATATTGGCGGCCCAATGGTGAGTAAAGCGGCAGTCCGGCCCTAATGATGCACGACGGTGACAACGGCCCTGGATGGCGATGATGTTGCTAGCGGCCCTGAAAGGTGGCGGCTCTTGGTGTTGCGTTCGGCCTGGGGCGGCAATGATATTGGCGGCCCGATGTGAGGAAGGCGGCAGTCCGGCCCTAATGAAGGACGACGATGACAACGGCCCTGGATGGCGATGATGTTGCTAGCGGCCCTTGTTAATGATAGTCGGTGGTGGTTCCTTGTTGTAGTCTTGGCCCAGGGCGGCACTTAGTATTGGCGGTCCGAAATGGTCACGGAGGTCACCTACGGAAGCTGGTAGCCATATTCCAAAATATTTTCTTTTATAGAAAAAGTGTTGCCTTTTCGCTGCCAATGGGCAATGAGATTTGTCGGTAGGAAAGAAAACGCAATAAATTTGAATTTATTTTTAATTCACCCTGTTTCTGTCTATTAAAGAGTAAATATTATTTTAATTTGGAAACCCGCAATTTAAATTTTTATACCCGAGCGCACTTGTGCACAAGGGTTTATTAATTTTGTTCACATAACAGTTGTTTGTAACAGCCAAAACGAATCGAGATAGATATAGACAAATGTATACATTAATGGTCAGAATGAATAGAGAAGTCGATTAAGCCATGTCTGTCTGTCCGTCTGTCCGTCCGTCCGTGTACACGATAACTCGAGCAAAAATTGAGATATCTCAACGAAATTTGGTACGTAGGTTTCCATTAACCCAAGGTAGGTTGGTATTGAAAATGGGCGAAGTCGGACTGTGACCACGCCCACTTCCCACATAACGGTAATTTCCAGAAATACGAAAACTTTTTTAGTAACTACTGAAGATAATTCACTTAAAATTGATATTTACAATAATTTTCGGACGAAAAATAAGAATATTGTAAGTTTTTGGAAAATGGGCGTAGCCACGCCCACTTATTCTTACATGTGTATATCTTGGTAACCGCCACTTATGTGGCACCACCCACTTATGATCACATATATATATAGCTGTAACCGTTCTACCAATTTGTACCAAACTCGGTATGGTTATTGTGCTTGCCACATAAAAGCAAAACGTTGAAAATTATTGAAATCGGAATAAAATTACGGCGGCAAATTTCAGAAATGCTTGAAACTGCAATATTTCGAAATTTAAGGACGCTAATTTACTCAAAATTATAACCGGTCATCATCGGTAGGTTTCGGAAAGGTGAAAAAACATATATTTAATACTTGCGCCGGGTATTTAATGTTCGGCTCCGCCCGAACTTAGACTTTCTTACTTGTTTAAGTATGAATTTTTATTTTATTTTTTACGAAATTTCTATTAGCGGACTTCTCTCATAGGCGGACAAAAAAGGTGACCATCGGTGTCCGCATATTGGAGCTTTCACTGTATTTGACATCCGCATTAGCATCGCATCCGCTGATGTTAGCTTTTAAACATCCGCATCCGCATTCGCATCCGCGGATGTCTAAAATTCCACATTCGCAACATCCCACGATTGTTTATTAGGAAAAATTGAAAAAGCAACAAAGTCTAAGCGGTAGAAGTTATAGCAGCTATTTCGGAGATCACCACATCTCCTCATCAGACTTCTTTTTTCTAGACTTCAGCAGGGATCGAACCTGCGTAATCGATGTTCAAAGTTCAAAGGTCGATGTTCAACCAACTACTATTAAGTGCAGCTGATTTGCCGCTAGTGTTCTTTATTTTTTATGAATTTGGTATAAGTTTATT